GGTCATGTTAGTTTTACTGTTAATTTAATATTCTTTCAATGAATTTCAGTTGATTTTATTAAATTAGATTGATACTTGTGTGTTATTGTGAGCTTGTTGCCATCAGGATATATTAGGCTTTGCCCTCTCCCTGTAATCTGGTTGGACTCATCAAATTTTGTGCAAGCTTATGCTTTCCAAGTCCACACATTATAAAATAACAAGCAAAGGGAACTAATGCTACATTCTGTATTTGTCCATGAAACTGTAAATCTATAAACAGACATTAGGTTGTACAGCCACACTGACTAATGTGTAGTCTGGGTTTGGTACCTTCTTCTATCATTTTTCCAAAACATAATTAACATAAAAAGCAAACCTTGTACCTTAAATTAAAAACAAAAACACAAACTATGGAGACAGTACAGGGAAGAAATCAGTCCTACATGTAGTTATGTTGGTTGGTGGTGGTGAATATATTATGAGCTTGCATATGAGGAGTTCAGCCATTTGTCTCTATACATCTGGAGATCAAGGTTTTCCACATTTGGTATATCATTTGCACCAAAGAATTTTATTCTGGCAGAGGAACCTAGTTCAACATTACAAAAAGCATTAGAAGATTTATCACAGAAATGAACACGCTTAGTTCATTCAAGAATTAACAAGTCCAAAACAGAAATGCTACTCCCTCTATAATATGTTACTTGATATTCAAAGTTTGTTCTTTTTGAGACTCACAAAACAGAACAAGTTTCTGTAAACTTATTTGGGTGGAAACAAAATGTGAAGGGGAAATTTTCATGAGCAAATTGCACAATGTTTATCTCTTAGCTCACATGGATAACTAACAATATGCACGTAGAAACAACCAAACTGCATCACATAAACGATATGAACATTTATATATAGAACTAATTTACTTTTTGTATTCACTCATTACAAACTTCAAATTCAATATCCAACTCACTTATAGAGCTCAAAGAATCAACTTTCGTTTTCTTCTTGAAGGATCAATTGATTCAAAAATAGAACACAAGGACAGCATTACCCTTTCACGTTCCAACTCTTAAAATTAAAAAACAAAAGCAATACATAAAAGAAACTCTCCCAAATCTAGAAGCCATGACCATTTTGTAATTCGACAAGGTTCATCTACCTCATTATTGTCCTAGTATAGAATGATAGAAAAAGCAAATTAATAAGAGTAGAAACTGATCTAATTTAAAATTTTCACCCTTGGGATTTGGGCCCCCTTCATATTTGGAAAATAGGCCAAATGTATAAGTTATTATGTATTATTTAACCAAGTGAGAAAGGTCAAATTAGAGTTGAGAGTGAGGACTCGTTATTGAGAGAGAACAGTTGCAAACAAATATAGAGAAGAAAAGAGAAAATCATAGTGCAGTTTGCATATCCATAGGATGAAGCACATTAGATGGAATTGGAATGAAAATAAATTGAAATAACCATCGACAGATTAGAGAAGCCGACCGGGGACTCATTGGAACACATTTGCATATATAAGTAATTGAAAGTAGGTTACGTATAGTTAATATGAATCAAGAGAATTAATGACTAACTATTTTTTGTCACAAATCAAATGACCTAGTTATTCTTTAGTAACTAGAAAGCATCTCACCTGATTTAACACTTACAATAAGCCTTTAGCAATCATTTCTCGGAGAAGCTCCTCTGCCTTATCATTCTCGTCTTTTTCAAATAGAGCAGAAATAATTATTTCAAAAGTTATAGCATTAGGGATGCAACCTTTCTCTTCCATTATTGACAGCAAGTCCAATGCTTCATCAAACAACCCCACTTTACAAAGTCCATTGATCATAGCAGTATATGTGACGACATTGAGATGATGGCCTTTAATCAAAAGATACTGAAAAACTTCTTGCGCTTTCTCAAGTCTTCCACCTTTGCACAGTCCATCAATAAGTATTGTGTATGTGTACTTATTTGGCTGAATTTTCCAATTAATCATTTTCTTGAATAATGCAATTGCTCTGTCTAGATGACCATTTTTGCATAAAGCATCCAATAAGGAACTGTAGGTAATTATATGGCCAGGTTGACCTCTATCATGCATCTCATCAACAAGATTCCAAACATCAGCTATCCTTCCCGATTTGCACAGACCATCAATAAGTGAACTATAAGTTACTGTATCAGGAATCATATTTTTGCGTTGCATGTCTTCAAAAAGATTGATGGCTTCATCTATCATTTTCTTCTTACATAATCCATCAATCATGATAGTATAGCTATAAACATCAGGTGCCACTCCTATTTGGGACATAGAGTTGAATACATGCTTTGCTTTTTTCACTTCATTAACCATGCAGTATCCGTCCATTAATGTATTATAAGTAATAACATCAGGTTCCACACCTGCTTTTACCATCGAAGCTATCACAATTTTAGCTTCTTTTATCTTTCCTTCCTTACATGACGCATCAACCAATATGTTAAAGGTAACAATATTTGGGTTGATGTTTTTCAATTTCATATCATTTAAAAAAGCAATTGCTTCTTTGAAATGACCCATAATGCAAAAGCCATACATTAAACTACTGAAAGTGACAACATTCGGAGAAATCTTTTTGACAAGCATTTCAGAATACAAATTACAGGCATCAGCAACAAGTTTATTTTTGCATAAGCTGTCAATGATTGTGTTATACATTACCACATTAGGTTTAATTGAATGCCCTTCAATCCTTTTGAGTAACTCTATGCCAGCCTTTGTTTCTCCTGATTTACAAAGACCATTGATCAAAGTCCCATAACTAACATGGTTCAACTGAAATCCTTGAGCTTTAACGCAATCATGAAATTGCAGTGCTTTCCTAAGCTGACCACAAAGACAGAAGCCTTTGATGAGTGTATTGAAGGTAATTGCATTTGGCTTATATCCCATTTTGAGAATCTTGGCGAACACAGAAAAGGCAAAATTGATGTGACCGAGGTGGCAGAAGCAGTTGATGAGGATGTTGAAAGTAACAATATTTGGTGTAATACCTTTGAATTCCAATTGTTTGGAAAGGAAAATAGCAGTTGGGTAATGGTTCATCTTGACGAGGGATCCCAAAATGTGGCCAAAATGGAAGATAGGTGGGGAAGGATGCATATGGAGCATGCAATTGAATGAGGCAACGGCATCGTCGTGATTGAGAGATTGAGAGTGGAAGCTTGCATTTGCATAAAAAGGAACAAACTTTGGAAACCTAAACCTTAATACTGACAAAGACATTGAATACATTGAATACCTATTTGGGAAGATGTGGGACTTGAAGGAAGCCAGGGGTTTGCAGTGAACTCGTACAGAAACTGTAAGAGCTATTTAACAGTCATATTTTTATTCAACAACAACTTAGAAAGAAAAAATAGCCGCTGATTTATGAAGGAAAACAGCATTCATATTCACGCAGTTTCAGCATTCATATTCACGCAGTTTCTCTCTCTCTCTCTCTCTATTCACGCAGTTTTTCTCTCTCTCTCTCTCCCTCTCTTTCTCTCTCTCTCTCTCTCCCTCCCTCCCTCCCTTCTACATTCTTTCTTTTTCTCAATTCCTTCTCCTGAAACCCCCTATATTACTATTTATAGCAAAACTTTATTATTATTATATGTACTGAAACCCCCTATGTCATCAATCTTCTCTTCTTTCTTTTTTTCCCTGCACAAAATCTTTGCTTCTTTCGTTTTTTTTTTCATTTACCAAATGCATCCTCTCCGTTCCATAATTAAACCCGCACATAAATGTTAAACCTTCCTCCAATTGAATGCACCGGTGAGAAAGACGCTATATTTAAAACGAATTCCAATCAACACCAAGATCCCAATTTGAATAAATGAAACACGATTTCAGCAACAACCCAGTTAAAATCTTTCAAAAAACACTCGTTCCAATGACTGAAAACCAAACCTTAGGGAGATGCTGAGCAGACACGGTGATGCTGCGGTGGTGCGTGCGACTATGCGGTGGTGTAGGCGTGCAGTGGTGCGGCTGTGCAGCTGTGTGGCTATGCAGCAGTGCGGCGGTGCAGCAGTGCGGCGGTGCAGCTGTGCAACGATCCGACGGAATAACGATTGTGGCTATGCAGCTGTGTGCGGCGATTGTGGCTTAAAATCAAACTGAAAAACAAAACTTAGGGTTCTCAAAGATGAAGCTTAAGTGTGCAGCAAATGGGAGAGACATTTCAAGGTTTTATTTTTTAAATAAAAAAACGACGCCGTTTAAAAAAAATTTTTCCAAAAAAAGTGATGACCCGGTTTGGGTCATGAGACCCGCGAGTCACTGGTTTAACCATGTTTTTAGCCGGGTCACACCGAGTCATACCGAGTCACCTGCACGTCTGGCCTGATCACTGGTTCAACTCGGTTCAACCACCAGTTTTCGGTTTGACTGGTTCGAACTGAGTTTTAAAACACTGCATTTATATATATTTAAATATATATATATATGTAAAATCTTATTTTATCTTTTTACTTATGTCCTGCAACCAACTTCTTTAGAGTGACGTGTTGCAGTAATTCTACAACACATTTTTGACCCTTTTACTTTTTTTTTTAAAAGAAAATCTTATGAAAATTTCGAATATTTTATAATAATACAATAGTATTATTCTAAAAAATTAGGTTTTTATTAAAAAAATTATAATATAATAGAATTTTACATATATTTTCATTTTAGTAATGTAAAAAAAATTATAACTTTAAAAAAACATTGTATTTCTATTTATTATTCAAGTATGGTAACTAAAATTTTCGAGTATTATTTATTAAAAAATAAGTAAGATAATAAAATTGAGAATATTATAATATGGCTTGAAAATTCAAAATATTACAATTGGTATCCCAGTTTAGTTGTCGATTCAGTAAACATGTAATATGTGAAAAACGATTGAATTGGTTTGGTAGAGTCAAGTCACTCAAATTTCTCAAGTGTTGTAAGAGATATCTGTATGTGAATGTGTGACAACGTATTAGTTGTCATATATGTATATGATGTGGTTTGAATTGATGTTATTCATATTCATTGTATGAATATTTTATTGTATGGTATGGTTGGGGTGTAAGTTTGAATTGTTTGGGTGTTGAGCTTTCAAACCTATTAATGTTATGTTAATTGTTGTATGATGTGAGTCATGAGATGTTGTTTGGTTGGTTTACATATTAGTGATTAATATAGATGTTTTATTCTTATACTTGTAATAAGTTGTATTTTTTTTTAATCTAATTTATCCTTACATGTTTTTGTGATGGTTAGACTATAATGATCACGACTTTTATAAAAGTAAGGTAGGGTTAGCTAGAGACAAGTTTCTTTTGGTGGATGGTATCCTGTGAATTCTTTTGGGTTACTCTAATGAAATCAATTATATAGATGTTGCATGATTGACAACTTAAGATTTATATTTTCATAATTGGATTATTGTACATATACTTATATTTATTTGTTTTGTTTAGTTACGTGTGTGTGTGTGTATATATATATATGTGTGTGTGTGTGTGTGTATGTATGTTGTACTGTACACATCTAGGTATCGTGATTATATTAATCTTAAGTATGTTAGTTATTTATCCGCTACTAATTGATGATTCATAAGTATAATGATCATGGTAGGTCGTTACAAATAACATAATCATCCAAAAAATAATATATTTTAGTAAAATTTACATATCATTTTAGAGGATTTTTAAATATTTAGGAATTTTTATCAGGATGTTTAATACTTTTAGGATTAATGAAATAGTTTATATATATATATATATAGATATATATATATAAAAGAAGTATTTGTAAAAGAAATTAATGGTTTATTTTCTAATTTATATACATAAAACATTCATATTTTGTGGCAGAAGTGCAACATTCCGAATTAACAAGGACAAGGACAGTTGTCACAACTAGAGTTTGGAACATGGTCAAAGTTACCTTAAACTGATGTGAACCTACCATTTGTGAAGTGTCATGACCACCAGCATGAAACTTTGCCCTTCATTCCGCTCCCGAAAACCACCCCATCATGATAAAACTCCCCAATCTCATTTCACTTCCTTTCTTTACCAACATTCCCATCATAACAAAAAAACTAACAATACTTTGCCTCCACCACCCCATGCAATAGTCCTTCAAACTTCAATCCACACACAAAAACATTCAATCTATCTATCTATCTGCACAAGCATGTCAGGTGGAGTTGGTCCAACAGCCTGCGACATAGCCCTCCCAAAGGATCAAGAACTAGAGTTCAAAGAACAACAAGACCAACAACCCCTCAAGACCAATGAGCTAAACAAGAACAAGAAAGCATCCCCACAACAGTCCCCACTAGGGATCCTGTCCTTCAGCCAGCTAAACTCGCTGGCAGTAGTAATAGTGGTCTCAGCGAGCGGCATGGTGAGCCTGGAGGACTTCGGGTTCGTGTTCTTCTCCCTAATATACATGTACTTCATCTCCAAGGTGGCCTTCCCCTCTCTGGAGCCCTCTCCCAACGCCATAAACCCCGAAAGCAAGGTCCTGAAACTGTACGAGGGGGTGGGGGCCACCATAGGGCTCTTGGCCCCCATAGCCTACATTCTGGAAGGAGTGTTCGAGGGGGACAAGGAAGGGATAAAAGCGGCGGCGCCGCACGTGTTTCTGTTGGCGAGCCAGGTGTTCATGGAGGGGGTGGCATCGTCGCACAAATTCTCGGCGCCGATAAGGGCTTTTGTGCCAACCTTCTACAATGCCAGGAGGATCTTCACCATCTTGGATTGGCTCAGGAGTGAGGTCTACAAGGGGGATGCTGACAATGGTTGGAGGCTTTACGTTGGGAGAGGCCTTGCCATTGCTAATATCATTTTCTGGTCTTTTAATCTCTTTGGCTTCCTCTTGCCTCTCTATCTGCCCAAGGTTTTGAAGGAGTATTACTCCCAGACTGGAATCGACCACAAGAACCGGTGAAGGAAGGACTTAGATTAGCCTTGCATTTTATTTTTACTTATAAGGTCTTAAACCATCATCATTTTGCCTTCTTTTGCTCATCTATAAGTTTTACACACTCAATGTATTTGACTCCATGAATCACTCTAGTGTAGACATTAGGCGTTCATTGGAACTGAAACGGGATAACTATGGAATGTAAATTAAATAAAGCTATACTAAGGGAAGAGATAGATGATGTGTGACAAAAAGAAAGATATAGAATAAGGTGTTCCATTTATTTGACTGTAAAACAAATTAATTATTTTAATTAACTTATAAGCTAGTTTATCGATTAACTCTTATTTTACTTGCAAATTCTATTGTTTTTTAATCCTTCAAATGTAATATTTGATTTTTTTATAATGTTTTCAAGTTATAAAATAAGTAAACAAAAAGTTTAAATTTGACAAGCTGGAAACATGAAAGAACGATGCTATACATTTCGAAAAAATAGCCAAATTATTCTCTAAATAAATAATAGTGACATTTGTTAAAAAATTTAATATATAATATTCATCATCAGTGTATCGGTTAATTTTTCGGACGATTATGTTCGGAGGATCTAGCATTTTTCAACATGAAAAGTACTAAATAGATGCAGCCTTTTCTAGCAGTTTCGCATGCACTCAACAAGATTTGGGGAGGCATGTTAAACTTCAAATTGTGTATCTTCTAATAACAATCTTTTCACGGACATACATAACTAATTGTTTATATATATATGAATCACAAAAGTGTGCGTGAACAGAAATCCACCACCTATCTGCAATATAAATTTTATACTCTTTCCTCAGTCACTACATCATGACAACAAGGGAGAAATACTATAAATAATTTATTTGAATACAAGTTTAGAAACAATTTTGATAATTCCTCAACTGAAAAATACTCTATTTTTAATAGATAAACTCTCAGAAATATTTTTAACTTATATCAAATCAGACTCTAAAACTAGAAAGATAAAAGTGGTATACACATCGTCCAGCAACATCTTATAAATATCACGAAGTCAAAGCTAAAATGAAAACTCGCTTTCTTTTTGAATAAGAAGTATGCAATCAATCCTCTTGTCTCAATCAACTCAAACGGATCACTCAGCGTACAATAAAACTCCACTATAATCACATTTTTTGACGCAAGAGCTTGGAGATTAACAAGTTAACAGTGCAGACCGAAGATATAATACACGCCAGCTATAACTTAACCACCGCAAAAAAAATAAAAATAAAAATGAAATTAATTTTTAAAAAATTCAAAGGCCTGACAAAATTTATCAAGATAGGAATAAATACAAACAAGGTCAAACCCGATTATGCTCAAATTGCTTTCCATGATTTTGTTTTACTCTTTTCTTCTCACTTTTTTCCTTTTATTTGCCCCTCTCCCCTTGCTTGCAGAATTCAAAATGTTCAAATTTAAAAAAACAAAGCTACACTTTGGTTATAAGTTACAAGAAACAACAAATATTACTCACATGGTGTTCACACAGACTTGCACTTCCAAGATTCAGGCAACAGCAAGCCCTAAGCTTACATCCTTTTAGATTACTTCAACTTTCACTCACCTTGGAAATTGAATTATCTTCCAGTGCTGCACTATCTTTGATCAAAACCTGTATGTACCATAAATTACATGCTCAATGTCAGACTTGCAATCATTTATGATTAAAACCTCCGTTGCAACTCCCCACCCTCAACCCAGCCCTTCTAAATTATCAGTTACCAATTAAAAATCATTTTGAAATTTAAAAGTTGTTAGCATGTGAAATAAACAATAAAGAAGGGGGGTTGGGGTGGGTGGTGACAAAAGCAGACACAACGAATCAATGATTAAGCCCCATGAAATAACACGTCCTCAAAACTAATTAACATATGCAACAATGCTATCACTGCTTGTCTATCCCTAAATCCTTAATCAATTCATGTCTTAGCACTAACAGATCTGAGCAAAATTTTCAGATGCTTCTGATAGAAAACAATGTATGTAGGGTTCTAAAAGAATATATCAAGATAGAATGAAGAACATACTTGTATACATGTGCGTTGAACCACTGCTATTCATAGAAATTGGTACTAGTCTTCTGTCTTGGCCCAAAGATAAAATTTGCATCCTTTCAGGCCAATCTGAATTCAATCTTCGTGCAAAATCCTCCACTTCCCTACAATAAAAAATAAAAAATAAAAAATAAAAAATAAAACAGCAAATAAGTGCAAGATAAGAGAGAATACAATAAAATGAATCACTCGACAATCAGTTGACAAGGCTATCCTCTTTCATAGGTTATATGACAACCATTCTACGAGTTGTCTGCTCAAATAAAGTACATTAATGAACTACTATGTAAGACACGTGCAGCACATTCAACACCGAATCCAATTAAAGATAGAATCCTTGAGTAATAACAATTTTAATGGAATGCAATCTCTGAAAAAATGCATTAAACCAGTCAGGAAGATTCTGGGGTCCCTGGAATCTACTTGCGAGGAGGAAAAAGATATTCTATAACTAAAAGCAACAGATGCTGGTAACATGAAGCTAAAGAAATCATAGAAATTAATTAACTAATTAATTAGAGATTAGTTTGAGCACAGATATATAACGAGTATTGTCATATATATAGTTATGAACTTATTCCTCATCAATTGATGAACTAGCAGAAGCATGTATCTAACCTGTCAAGCTCCTCCTTCATTGCAGGATCTAAATCATCATCCATATCACCATCAATAAATTCAAATTTTGGAGAAAAATTAACAGCAGGAAGGTTTTGCATCATCGAATGTTGACTTGCAGAGGCATTGTCAAAGTTCCCATTATGATATGCAGAAGTAAGAGGATTCAACTCCTAAAATATATAAAAGGATTTTAAATGAGAGACAATATTCTTTTAATAACAAAAGATAATGTAGACATCACTAGGTAATAGTAATCTAAGCGATAAGAATGAGGATATAGATCACAAACATATCCTCAACTAGTGTTTTCAAAAAGAGGTGCCAGAGCCTAACCTTATCGTTTTCATTTGCATTTTGTGAAAGATCCTTTGCATGATCTTTCCTTCTCCTATTCTTCTTTTTATTTTTATTTGCTCTAGTTTCCTTTGTATCTACCAAATCACATGTATCAACAAGGTAAGCTACGTAAAGCAAAAACAAGATAGGGTGCATCAAAATTATTGTACTCTAAAGCAAACTTTAATACGGGTCTGATTGAAAAGCTTCCATAGAAGTAATTTTAGAAGAGAAAAATAGGGGGAAAAAAAATCGAAATAAATCTTTCCATAAGCTAAAATTAACTTATGTACAATTAAAATTTTTTTTTGGAGAAATTAATAAGAGAGAATTTCTACAAATTAGCTTATATATAAACTAATTTTAATTTCTGAAGAAATTTATTTCTTTTTTATTTTTCTATCCTAAAAGTGTTTTTGGAGAAGTTTACTCAAACAGACACTATATGTAATATGATTGAATTAATATAGAAAATTGTGTGATAACAAGAAATCAGCATAATCATTCTAGTATCTATCACAAACAAGAGTATCTCCATGCATCTAAACAATAATAGCAAAACCAAAAACAATAATAACAGTAGTAACATAACATCAGATTTAAATACTTTGTGACCTCTAAATATAGCATGCTGCAACAAAAGTCAAAGCTGGGGAAACAATGCACGTGGCAGTATTATAGAGATGAACAAAATGCAATAAAAGTGATATAATTTTCTTTAACAATAAGACAATATTGACATCGTTCATCCACATTTGCACCCGCCCCCTCCCAAAATAAAATGAAAGATTTGATAAGATAGCCAAATGGAAACAAAAAGTAGTATGGTAAATGAAATTTAGAAAAGAGGGTGAAAGACGTGACATACCTCCATCTGCACCATTAATAAATGATAGGAGATCTTCAACTGAGCGCTCATCCTTTGGCTCTTCCTCAACCTCAACATCCTGAAACACGTGAAGCATTTTAGTGTGATTGCAATTTGCAACAGTCCGATAAGAAGTTTACCATAATAAGAATTCTATTAACATTCAATAAGCAAGGTCCAACAATATTAATGGAGTATAAATGGTAGAAAATACCTTCAGTTTCTTCCTCTCTTTTAGTTCTTTCCTCTTTCTAGCATATAATCTGTTTAGAAGTCGAATACGTGGATCATCAGTTATGTTTCTTAGAGGCTCCAGCTTCTCCTCCTGTCAAAGATCAAATGTAAATCAAGAAACATATTGCGGAATTTAAGGGTCTTTTTTGCTATCATCACAAACCTCAGTGAGGTCATCAGGCAAATGAAATGTTTCACGAATCTCTTCAGGAGTTTTTCCTTCAATAATCCGAGCGAGTGCTCGGCTGGTCAGGTCAACCAAAGGCTTTAGTTGGAGGCTGTCAGCAGCAGATGTCAACTCACATAACTTCTTTGTATCCATCCGAATAAACTTCTCATCAAAAGTTTTGCGCTCCTAAAATAACAATCAAATACTCATTTATCTATAAATTCCATCACCTCTCCAGTATTTCAGCTGATAAAAGCAACAGATAATACTTTGATGAAGAATTATCAAATATACTTTAAAACTAACAAGCACCAAATCTCCAAATAATGGAGGAGTACCACAAATATATATTCCAGAAATCAAGATAAAATAAATCACAGGAAAGCTGGATTATTCCAGACCTTATTAGATCGTCCTTGTACTTGGTGAAACCGACAGTAATCAAGTATCAAACCCAAGATTGCAGGATTGACACGTTGTGGAAGAGATATAGCATAAGCTTTGGAAGATCCCATGCCTGTTTGAAGTACTTCCTGGCAAATCATGGGGCAAAACATGGCTGCCTCTTCCTCTACTTGCTGAATAGAACCATCCGCAGTTTGAAGCCAGATGTAGGATTTCATCTAAGCATGCCAAAGGCAAATTGAAATCAATAAACTAGCTACCCATGAACAAGAATAAACCTGACATTACCATGTTCTAAATTTCAAAACAATACAGTAACTTCATCATTATAATCTACAAGTAGAGTTCAGTGATGGTGATATAGTTGAAGCAAATAAAGAAAGGGGGAGGGGGAGAATCCTCATAATACAAACTATTTTGATGATAAAAGTCTATATCTGGACAAAAAAAATGTTTCTTCATTTAAACTAATAGTAAAATAGGTATACTTGAAGAAAAGAAACAGGTTTTATATTGAGTTATGTGATGATATCGTATTTACTTGATCCAATTGAATAAAATTTCTGCATTTGGCCCTGACTAACATTCATTTGTATTAAAGATGTAAAAGAATATCTAATACTAAAAAATTCAACATCATTAAGGTGATCTTATCTACAAATTCAAAGAATTGATACAAGCAATATTTTCCCAATATTGTACAGTTTCACCATCAAGTGGTTTTCCTTCTTAATGTCCTCATCTGTACACCCTCTTGGAAGAGATATGGGCCTATGGTTTGTGAAAATTAATGGCTCATAAGTGCTACATATGGGCATAAAACATAATAAAAGGAGATTAACTTTGCTAAAAGGATACAATCCCTTATGGTCTCCTATAAAAACATACTACCTCCATAAAATTATAAAGGCAAATAAATAATTTTTTAATGGAAAAAGAAAACTTTAATTACATAAAGAGAACAGGATGGAGAAAGAGAAGGGAAAGAAAAACAATAATAGGCATTAACATAATAAAATTACAGTTAAATGAAAATCTGATCATCTAAAGAGAGGTACAAGAAGAATTTTTGGAGATCAAGCTTTATATCTGAGGAACCCTTGTACTTAATTAAGATAATAAAAAATATTAAAGACAAATAAAAAGAAAACAAGTACTTCAGCATGCATCACAGTTCATATACATAGTGTTAATTAGAAGTAAAAAATATAACAAATTTAGAAGCCTTAATACCTACTCATTAAGACCTGCTGTTATGAGATGAAATTGAAATTTTAAATACAGTTGTAAACTATGCATTTAACCAACACAAAAGGCCAAAGCAAGATATGAACAACACCATAACAACAAATAACTCTAAAGGCCAAAGCAAGATATGAACAACACCATAACAACAAATAACTCTAAATGGATTAAAAAATTCAAATAGATAGAATGTAATACTATACCTCAGGTTTCATAACTTCCATAGCAGCATCAGACATTTGAAAACAGAGACAAGTTGTAATTACAAGAGCCTTGGCACGAGTGTGACTAGTTTATTATTTATCCCAGTTCGGTAACAAGAAAATTACACCACAAAGGAAATTCTGCGCTTCTTCAAAAACCTTGTTTTGCAAGATTTGCATAGACGCTTCAAATATTCTCCATGAAGTGGGATAGTTTTGGACTCTAATAACAGGTCTAACAGCATTATTATATTAAGTGTTTCCACAAGTCTTGTACTAGAAGTTAAAGCAGCCGGTTCTATGGCAATAAACCATGTGATGTTCAGCCTAAACATAAGCAAATAAGGTACCAGCGTTAAACATCTGCAGATCTTTTATCAGTTCAGTTTCTTTATCACAATAATAGTTTTTGTGCATGCATGAATATGTGTGAGAGCCAAGAAACAGAGGTGAACAACATCAGATTGAGAACTATTATTGACCACATTCATAAATCAACAATTGAAAATGCAATATTATTCAATATTCAATAACCACAATTCCAGAGTATAGCAATCATATATCCTTAGGCAAATTAATTCTAAAGTCAATATAGTAAAGGAACAGTGTTTCATCTCAAAATGCTATACGATTTTACTCAATATGCAGAAGAAAGCTGAATTTCTTTATTTATTAAGGTTATTAGAGTAAAAGGATGATATTTTTATTTTATACATCCTCATATCATAACTATAAATTTTGCACTCTGCTTTCTACGACAGCAGGTAACTGATGAATTTTAACTTAATTTTACATTAGTGAAAGAAAATTGCAACCTTTCTAGGTTTCTCTATTATGAATAGTGAAGCTGAAACCCTTGCCTAGGGATCTATGTGGCATATTTTTTTATTCATTAAGAAAACATAGAGTAGTCCATGTAATTAAGTTAACCATGATTTTAGTCAGACCTTAAATAGAAACAGTTTATTCTGTATCTAGTCTATGCTTTTTAATGTTTACGGCTTCCTCAATTTCATTACCATAAAGACCATAATGGTGTTTTAAACTCTACCATTATTGCAATTGATAACAACAGTGGAAAAATTCATCTATATTGAAAAGAATATCAAAAACATCAAAATATAAACTATTGACATATCTTATGACCTCACCACTACACTATTATATATCAATGAACACTACGACTAGAAAACCAAAGGTAAACACTAATAATTAGAGCCTACAAGGTTTATTTTATTTACTTTGTATATACTATCTATTTTCATGTTTTTGTGAACCAAATGCTGCAAAAAATACAATCTTGTTATTAACATCTCCTTCATAAAAACATAAAACCACTTAAAAAAATGAAAATAATATGCCTATCTGTAACTATTATTGAAACAGTTTGCTGCTATTAAATGGTTATAGATCAATGGTTAAGGAATCAAAAGTAGAAAGTGTCTATCAGAAAGTCTAACACTTGGTGTTACCAATGCATCTCAACTATGATTTCCAAATTCCCATACAAGATTTATATTTATTAGTTCCATAACTGGTTACCAAAATTGTTGTGAAATTATCCCAACAGAAAATGATCACACCCACACACCAAAAAAAAATAAAAATAAAAAATTCACCATGACCGCGAAATGCATTCCTAAACCACAATTGCATTATGTGTCAATCAAATGACCAAACACACAAGCAGTAACCAAGCGATGCCACATTCAAAAATATAATTCACACAATCAAAGTCAAAACCATTCATTTTCAGCAACTCATGACTAAATTGCTAAATCTAACCAAGCGATGCCACATTCAACAATCTAATTCGCACAATCAAAGTTAAAACCATTCATTTTCAGCAACGCATGACTGCTCAATCACTAAACCAAACTAAGCTAACAAAGTGACTCAAAATTCTAACCACTGTTTCTGTTATTCCTCTAACCCTGGCATGAAGAAAGTAAACAAAAACCATTCCAACTCAAGCAAGTAAGCAACCATAGGCAAAAGAAACACAAACCAAAAATTAAAAAAAAAATTATGACTCAAATGATGCCAAATTCTCATTAAAAAAGCTCAAATCAAAGCAACAGACCAACATCATCCTAAAATTCAACTCTGCAATCACAACCGTAACTAGCAGAATTCAAATTCAACGTTAAAACCGAAACACTGAAAAGAACAGAGAGAGAGGTACCTTGAAGAAACAGAGAAGAAAATGGAAGAAGGCATGCACAAGATGAAATCAAATAAGCAAGTTATGTGAAGAAAAGAAGAAAACTGGTTAGGGTTTTCCGTTTTCTCGGTGTGTGTTTTCAGTTTTTTTTTCTCTTTTTCCTTTCTTTTTCCGCCGATTCAGGTGCCGTTGGGTGTAGACACGTGACTCTACCAACCCAAGGAGACATGGCACGTGCAGCTTACGAAATATTACAACTGGACGAGGCAAGTGACGTGGAAGTGTACTACAATACAACCTTAAAAAATATGAGTCACTGAACACAACCAATAACAAAGTGACAGCACATTTTAAAAAAAAATATAATGTAACAAATAATGAGATATATTTTTTTATAACTAAAATTCATAATAAATAAATATTTTAATATACAAATAATATTATGATTAAAATTTGTAATAATTAAATTATATTTAAATTATGACATAGGATTATATTTAATTAAAAAATATTAACAACATGTTTTTTTAGTAATTTTTTTATTATTAATTAAAATTTATTAAAACTAAAAAAAAATCATATATGAGATTTATTAAGTAAGGTGTAAAACTTACAACAACTTGTGATTTTCAATAAATTTAGATAATACTAAAAAGAGGGTTTGTAAAATGTGTTATAATTGATTGTATTTTTCTTTTTAACAATTTTTTTTGGACAGTGGCAACTTTAAAAAAAAACTAATAAAATTTAATTTAGAGATAAAAAAAAAATTGAAAGAGACATGTGATTAAGAGTATCAAATATATACGATATAAAAGAAAAATAATTAAGAGAGTCTTTTAAAATTATAATAGCATGTGAAATGGTCGTCTAAAAAAATTATTAAAAAAGTATTAAAAATGAATAAATTTTTTTTTTATCAGCTAAGAGAAATTTGTATTAAGGAAGCACTAGGGGTGCCAAACCCAAATACAGAAATGTTGACAATCTCTAAATTATTTATTTTAAAGCATGATATTAATATTAGTAGATTTTGACTCATTCTTGTGTCTTATACCTTTTATTTTCTTGTCTCATCATCTAAGCCTTATCCATATACTAAAAAATGTGTGAAACCTGTGTGAAGCCACCTGGGATCATTGTAACAAGTTAGCAAGTTGGTCTGTGGAACATTCGCCATTGCAAGTTAGTGGACCAGGGTGGTTACGGTGGAGTGGCAAGTTTTGGATTCAGGCATGGAATTTCGTGGTGAATGCTTCAATTTTGTTGACACGTGGAAGGATTTTTTGTTGCTAGTGTCAAGGTGCTCAGGGATTCAAGGGTTGTCGTTTGTGACAAAGATCTGTTTGGATTTTGTGGATTAAGAGGTTTTTCTTTTTTATTTTTATTTTTATTTAATTTAATTTATGAAGATCTCACCAATATATATATATATATATATATACTAAGCCTGTAGAGGCT